CCATGTGATTATCATGCATCCCATTCAATTAATGGTGTCAGCTTGACATTTCCTGGGGCCAAGGGTTCCACTCCCAGTAAAAGACCCTCAGCATGGGGTTCACCGGCATGTGACAGCCTGACTGAGAGTTTCAGCTGCGTCAGTAATTTGGTGTGGCAGGTATGTGGCCATCACGTCCAGTGCGATGGGGCTTCCCACTGATATGTGTATATTTCTCCTTCCTGCAGGGCACTGTACAGTCCCTCAGGATGCAGACAGTATGTAAATCTGTAGACATCTCATGGGAATGAACAGGAGCAGGAGTAGGAATAGCACAAGCCCCTCTCTTTACCTGGCATTATTCCCAGTGGCTCATCTCAGGAACGCGTTGTGCTGCCCAACACATTTAAGCTTCTCATGCAATAGATTAGCAGGGCGGGAAAGACTCACTGTCTTTGCAAGGGCAGTGACTATGGTATTAGGGTGTGGCTATGTTTACACAGTGAGTAAGGGAGGAATATATTTGGATTCCAGTAATTCCACTGGAGTATTCTTTGGGACTCCCAGGTCTTGACAGTATGTACACAGATACAACTTAAATGCATAATTGACTCAATGATAATTAAACACATTAGTGTATGACCTCAGCTGTTGCAATACACGAGTATGTGTTGGAATCCCCACTGCACTCAGTGCAATGACCCTGCACCAGTCTATCAGAGACAAAATCACACTTGCCGCTACTTCTGGCTGTCGCCACCTCATTCCCAGATGATCAGAAGCTGCCATCGTCCATCATTTCAAAATAGATTCCAAATTTTGTTTCAAAATAGATGTCATTTCTGCACGTCTACATGAGCTTTTCCTCACCTGGCCCACATCATCTTCATAGCACCTCAAGCCACTATCGTGGGATTCTGGGGAAGCAGAGAAATGACATCACCCCATGGCATTTGCTCCCACACACAAACACTGCCCTCCCGTAGCCTGGAGACACTGGGATGTGTGTGCAGCGGGGGAGAGTCCTTGGGTGGATGCTCTCATCTGCCCCACGTAGGTGAGCGTGAGGGTCTGAGGCCGAAATATGGACCTGGAGAAAGAGACCAGCAGTTGCAGGTCTTGTAAGGTGAATTTAGTGTAAACATGGACACTGGTATCCTCCCCCTATTACTCTGACCATGTGATCTTAAGAAAAATGAACTGAAATATTCACACCACTCTTTCTGTCACTGAACATTGAAGATGCCCAGAAGCCATGAGAGAGCAGCTGGAGCTTCTGGAGAGTTCTGTATGTTTCCACAGCAGGGACCAGTTTGCATGTGATGGAAAGACTTAAAGAATATAAAATGTGTGGCCTGCGAATGTTTCCTCCATCTGTGGGTTGTCTGTTTGCTCTCCTGACAGTGTCCTTGGCTGTGCAGAAGCTTTT